AAGGTTTAAGGCTTTTAGATGCTTGGCTGTGTGTTGTCACTGTTTTTGTGTGCCTTTGCCTGGTATTTGGTAGGTGACTCACCTTTTATTTTTAGCCTCTGTCACTTCTAGCTGCTAGATTTTGTTTTCTAACTCCGTTTTGGTAGGGAAATTAGCCCATTCAAAAAAAAAAAATTTTTTTTTAAGTAGCTGATACCTGATTTGATTCATTGTATTTGTTACATTTTATGCTTTGTTTCCTGTCTTCCTTTTTTTTTTTTTTAAAGTTTTGCAGGCGTGTAAGCTTGTAACTTTCTCTTCATTTCCTCTTTTCTCCTTCCTTAATTGGGATTCTACACTGTTCAGGGCTGCAGGTGGTGACCTTTGCTGTCCCGCAGGAGCCCCGGACTTGTCTATGTCTTCGAGATGCTTCTCTTCCAGAGCGTCCCCTTGGACCCAGAGATCTTTGCAATATTTTTATCCTCTCCCCACTTGAAATGTAGGATTTTGCAGCACACGTGTGCATCTTTTTATTTTATTATTGTTTAAAGATTTTACTTGTTTGACAGAGAGAGAGCACCAGCGGGGGTGGGGGAGGGGCAGAGGGCGAAGCAGACCCCCCACCCCCCAACCCCCGCTGAGCAGGGACCCTGGCAGGGAATCCAACCCAGGACCCCGAGTTCAACAGACTGAGCCACCCAGGCGCCCCCGTGTGTATCTTTTTTAAAAAAATCACAGCGGGCTAGAATATGGTGCGCCCTTCTGATGCACTGACTCAAGTCTCTTTCAGATGATGTAAATTCCCCTGTATTATCCCTCATCTGTAACTATTTCTGCTTTTTTTTTTTTTTAAGATTTTATTTATTTCTTTGACAGAGACAGATCACAAGTAGGCAGAGAGGAAAGCAGAGAGAGGAGGAAGCAGGCTCCCTGCTGAGCAGAGAGCCCGATGCGGGACTCGATCCCAGGACCCTGAGATCATGACCTGAGCTGAAGGCAGAGGCTTTAACCCACTGAGCCACCCAGGCGCCCCAATATTTCTGCTTCTTGAACTCCCGTTATTCACATGTTAGGTCTCCTGGACTTTTTTTTTTCCTTTGATGTATTTTTCAAGTCCTTTTTCCATCACGATTTCCATTTCCAAGCGAAATGCCCTCTGGGTTCCGAGATATGTCTTCTACTTGATAGTCCAGATTCTGATTTGGCCTCTCCTGAGAAACATTCTTTTTTGTCTGGACCAGGACCTAAGCGTTCATTGTAGTTATTTTTTTTTTTTTTAAGATTTTTTTATTTATTAATTTGACAGACAGAGATCACAAGTAGGCAGAGAGGCAGGCAGAGAGAGAGGAGGAAGCAGGCTCCCTGCTAAGCAGAGAGCCCGATGCAGGGCTCGATCCCAGGACCCTGAGATCATGACCTGAGCCCAAGGCAGAGGCTTAACCCACTGAGCCACCCAGGAGCCACTCATTGTTGTTTTTGATGAAGTCTCCCATTAACTGTTCCTTTGAGAGAGCTGCCCACAGCAGGTGGGACTTCTTTTCCTTGGGAGCCCCTTTGGAAGAGAGTTGCCCTCGGGGACTGGGTCTACTCACCTTTGGTCTTGAACCTCGGCAAAGCAAGGAGTGGTGGGAGGCCAGGCGATTTCTGCTCTTCTGGGCCTGGGCTGAGAACTGGCAAACCACCAGGCCTCTCTGAACCACAGTTGCCTCCCAGGACTCTGGGCAAGTAGAGTCAGCCCGCTTCCTGGTGAATTTTTAGTCAAGAGTGTGTGTGTGTGTGTGTGTGTGTGTGTGTGTGTGTGGTTGGCCCCTTCATTCCCTCCTCATCTGCCTCCCCCCCCTCCCCTCTGCTTCCTTCCTTCTTTTCTTGTCTGGCTCCTTGAAGAAACCACATCTGATCTTCGCTCTAGGCTTCAGGGCTGTTGTACAGTTTTGCAGGTTGTTAACTATACAAGTACTCGGCTCAGGGGCGGAGCTGGTACTCCCTGCTGCTCTCACCAAGTTGTGCTCTGGTGAGGGCCTATGTCTGCCTGGGGGAAGGGCTGCTTTCTGACAACTGGCACAGAGGCATACTTACCAGGTGTCTCCAGGGCTACGCTGCCCACGGAGAGCACCTTCCCCTAACCTGAGCGCAGATCCTACTCCAGGGTGGCTTTGAGGGGCATCCTTCCCTCCTGTGCAGCTGTCCAGTGCTCTCTCCAGGCACCACAGAGAACCTAGCTCTGTTCCCATTGGGAACCCCAAGGGGAGGGTGTTGGGTTGGAGGGCGCCAGGGTGGGGGAGCTTGCACTCCAGCAACGGGGACCAGAATCAAGCTCCAGGCACCAGGAAATAAAGATGCTAGTTTGTTTTCATTTCCACCTAAACTTTTCCTCAATTTATTTACAAAGAAATACCCGGCCTGGGCAGTAAAACAAAACCAAAAATAACTCTAGTCCCACCACTCAGAAGCAGTGACTGTTGATGATTCTACAGAACTTTCTAACCTCTAATATTTTAGAGTATTTTTGAATAGAGAATATACATGCATGGTATAAAATTCAAAAGGAACAAAAAAAAAGGTCTCCTTTCCCCTCCTCCCACTCAATTTCCTTTTTCAGAGAAGCACTGTTACCAGAAATACCCCATTTATTTACACTCAATTGGATGTGTAGACATATACGTATTTTTCCCCACAAAGGGTTGCATTTCCTTTTTTTTTTTTTTTTTTTTTTTTTAGATTTTATTTATTTGACAGAGAGAGCACAAGCAGGGGGAGTGGCAGAGGGAGAGGGAGAAGCAGGCTCCCTGCAGAGCAGGGGGAGCCCAGAGCAGGGGGAGCCTGATGTGGGACTCCATGTGGGACTTGATCCCAGGACCCTGAGATCATGACCTGAGGTGAAGTCAGATGTTTAACTGACTGAGCCACCCCAACGCCCCTGGCTATACATATATTTTTTTTTTAGCTTTACATTATATCAAAAGTATATAATCACATCAAAACTATTAATGAACAATAAAATCCTTTAAAATTATAAATGTTCATTTTAGAAAGATGACCTTACTAATAAGCAATTACCTTTCTTTAAAAAAAAGCAAGCTCTACATCCAACATGGGGCTTGAACTCAAAGACACCCCAAGATCAAGAGTCCCATGCTCTACCAACCGAGCCAGCCAGGCACCCCAGTAATTACCTTTTGCATATATATCTATCTCTCTTTCTATATATATATATACACTTTTATGTGGGTGTATACATACACACATATTTGTGCAAGTATGTTTAACTAAAATGAGATTGTACCATTCCTAACCTGCTTTCAAAAATTTATCATAAACACTCCTCTTTCTTACTAAATATGATTGCATCACTGGATTTTTCAAATTGTATTATAAATAATACTGTGATGATGTCTGTATATATAATTTTAATTTTTTAAGTATTTCCTTAGGTCACAGGGTTTAGGTATTTTTTTAAAAAATTTATTTATTTATTTGACAGACAGATATCACAAGTAGGCAAGGAGGCAGGCAGAGAGAGAGGGGGAAGTAGGCTCCCTGATGCGGGACTTGATCCCAAGACCCTGAGATCATGACCTGAGCTGAAGGCAGAGGCTTAACCCACTGAGCCACCAGGCACCCCAGGGTTTGGGTATTTTATAAGCTCTTAATACATACTGAGACTTGCAGTCTGGAGAGACTGGCCCAGGGCCTGTCTTATCAGAAGCAGGACAGGAGGCAGCTTGTCCCCTGCCCCCATCCCCCCCACACCATCTAGCATCAGTGGCTGATTTTTTCTCACAGTTTCTAAGGAGGCTATTAGGAGCCACTGACAGATTTTAAGTAGACCGATAACATAACCAGATTTGCATTTCAGACTCCTGTTTTAGGGCCTGTTCTCTGGCTTAGTACCATTTGGCCCATAGGAGGCATCAAGAGAGCAGGTCTGTAACCTGTTGCTATGGAGACAGCAGTGCAGGCCTTCCACCAAGAGCCAGAAAGGATACCCCTGGACAATGTGCACCAAGGTCCTTTTTGTGTCAGGACTTCAACTCCTGCGAGTCCCTCTGCGTTGGGGCTGCTTATGCATCTCCGAACACCAGCGACTCACCTTTCCTGGGCCCTGACTGCGCGCCAGACCCTTTCCTGGGCGCCCACCAGGCTTAGTCTCCTCTGAGGTTGGTACTGTGACCGCGCTCCCTTTTGCACACGAGACAACTGAGTCAGACAAAGGTTAAACACCTTGTCTGTGATTACGCTGTTGCTAAATCTGGCCTCACAGCAGTATGCAGAGCCTGTGCCCTTGACCCCTAAGCTTCCCAGCCTCGGGCCACTTCCCTGGACCGTTGGCTGGGCCGTGGGAGTAGTTTCCAAGCCAGACCCCTCAGACTGCTTTTGTCTGTAGCACAATTTTACGACATCAGCATTTTGGTTTTGTTTAGTTTTGGTTGAGGGTTAAAAAAAAAAGCCAACAACACACAAAAGTTCCTGATTTGTCTTCCTGTTTCCTCCTTCCCTCAAAAGACTGGGAGCTGAGCTATTTGACTGGACGCTCCTTCCGGGCAGGTTCACATTGTAATAATCTGAGCAGGAAATGGTGGGCGTCGTGGTCGGCCTCTGGCCTTCGGGAGCCCCAGTCCGTTTAACGACTGTGAGGTTAAGTAGAGAAGCTTCCTTGGGACTCAAACTTGATACAGAGGCCACGATGTGAATCAAAGTAATAATGGCTGAACTCACTCTCTGTAGGGGCTGCTCGTGTGTGTGCTTGGTGAGGCTGTTTTGGAAACAACATAAAAATTCTGCCTCATGGCCTCTGAGAAGTGATCTGGGAGCACTTTTCGGAGCATTTATCATCACAGCAGGCTCTGTGGTAGATGCCTGACTGACATGGTGCCATTATGTAGCGTGTTTTCCAGAAGAACTTGAGAAGCTGTCAGGGTAGCTACTGGTATCCTGGGGTTGGTTCAGTTTGGGCTGCTGTGGGGCTTTCTCCTCAGAGGAAGAAGCTGACATTAGGACCACCCATTGGCCTACATGGCCCCCCTAGAGTTAGAGCTTCTCAGCGCGGACCCGCAGAGCTCTGGAAGGCTCCCCCCATGGGGCTCTCCTTCAGTTCAGGCTGACCCGCCAGCTCAAGGCCCGGGCCCAGGCATTCTGGTCTTTGCTTCTCCCTGTGTTCCTTAGCCTGAAGACCCCTCCAGGCTTCAGAGGAAGTGCAGGGAGTTGATTCTCATGTACCTGGAGAAGAGCACGTAGAGGCGGCGGAACCAGAGCAGCTGGCTGTGGTGGCAGGACATGGCTCTCTAGGAGAAGCAGAGAGGCCTGGTCATGGAACTGTTTCACTCCCTCTTTCTTCACCTGAACTGCTTCTTCCCACGAGCTCAGCTCATGCTGTAGCCTACTCTGGCTTCTCCCTGGGACGAGTGAAGCTCTCCGGATGGGCCTCCCATCGCTGCCTCCCCTGTCCCACCTCCTACCGACAACCCAGTGATAAACTCACAGGATAGTAATGGCGGCCACAGCGCGCGCGCAGTCTCCATGCATCACCTCAGCTTAGACAACACGGCTGGTGTCTGAAGCCAGAGCCACGTGAATGACCCTGAAGCCCACATTCTTAATTTCTTTGCTTCCCTACATCGTATAGATCAAATGTACGAGGAGGTTTTATGGGAAGTGAGCTACATTATTGTGCTCACGCTCCTCTGAATTACGGAAGCTGGAAGAAAGAGGAAGAGAAGAAATAGAAGGCACAGAGACACATTCACACCAAAGTGTACCCATGGGTGTGGGGTTCTCCTTGCCAAAATGTGTATTATCTTGTTATTTAGACCTAGAGTAGTTCAGTTTTAAACCATAGATCATAGCGACTGATGAAACTAGATATAACATAGATAAATATATATGAAATACATATATATTTATTATATTATATATAATATATATTTATATATGTATATAAATATATATATGAAACTAGATATAATATATAAATATTTCCTGCCTGCTTTTCTCTAAGTACCAAAAGTCAACTGCCTCTCTGAGCTATTATCATTGAAGACCTTTATGTAAAGAACTCATTTTATTTTTATTTTTTTATGATTTTATTTATTTATTTGTCAGAGAGAGAACACAAGCACGGGGAGTGGCAGAGGGAGAGGGAGAAGCAGACTCCTCACTGAGCAGGGAGCCCGAAGTGGGACTTGATCCCAGGACCCTGGGATCACCACCCAAGCCGAAGGCAGATGCCCAACCAACCGAACCACCCAGGTGTCCCCAAAATGTTTATTTTAGAAAAACATTGAGAGAGGGGTGCCTGGGTGGCTCAGTGGGTTAAGCCTCTGCCTTGGGCTCAGGTCATGATCCCAGGGTCCTGGGATCAAGCCCCGCATCGGGCTCTCTGCTCAGCAGGGAGTCTGCTTTCCCCTCTCTCTCTGCCTGCCTCTCAGCCTACTTGTGATCTCTGTCTGTCAAATAAATAAATAAAATCTTAAAAAAAAAACAAAAACAAAACATTGAGAGAAGGGATGAACTTTGTAGCCCAGACACACTTGACTTGTCTGTTTTTAGCAGCTACCAAGTCACATGAGTCTCCCAAATCATCCTGCCCCCAGTGGTCTAATTTTTGGGTTCCCTAACATTTCAACAGCTTTTCAGTACCCATTCAATACAATAGACACTTACTGTCCATTTGTTTTCTTACAAACTGTTTTTCTATTACTTTTCCAAGGGAATACAAAACATCAAATTTTTTTCTATGCCTCCCCTCCTTTTTGGAGCATTTCCACTACATTTCCTTCAAAGATATGATTTTGTAGGTTATCCAGTACTACCATCAATTCATCTGCTGAATATTAGTTCCCTTTTTTCCTTTTTAAGATTTTATTTATTTATTTGACAGACAGAGATCACAAGTAGGCAGAGAGGCAGGCAGAGAGAGAGGAAGGGAAGCAGGCTCCCTGCTGAGCAGAGAGCCTGATGTGGGGCTCGATCCCAGGACCCTGAGACCATGACCTGAGCTGAAGGCAGAGGTTTAACCCACTGAGCCACCCAGGCGTCCCTATTAGTTCCCTTTTTGACTATCATAAATTATACTAACATTCTTGCTCATAAATTTCTGAACATGGGACCCCTGGGTGGCTCAGTCAGTTAAGCATCTCAGGTCATGATCTCAGGGTCCTGGGATCAAGTCCTGCATCGGGCTCCCTGCTCAGTGGGGAGTCTGCTTCTCCCTCTGCCCCTCCCACTGCTCAGGCTCTCTCTCAGTCTCTTTCTCTATTAAATAAATAAAATCTTAAAAAGATAGTTTAAAAAAAAGTTAAAAAGCGGTTAGAATACACAAGTTGTGACTGATATATGTACTAAGCTCTGGTGGTTATATCTAGTATCTCAAACAAAAACCACAGAGCACACACATTCTTTTTAGATAACACGTTAACATTTACAAAAACTGATCATAAAGTAGGTCATTCACTAAGGAATTCTCAGTAAGTTTTTAAAAAACCAGTATGACACAAGCCACATGTAGTGACCAGGAAGCAATTCAATTCTAAATCAATAATAAAAAGGCTACAGGATAATTCGTGTTCTGGTAGCTACCTTCTATAAAGTTACTGCAAACACTTGAATACCATATCATTGTTCCTAGGGGAAATAATGGTTTTGGTCCCTGAGAGCCTCTGGTCTCAATATTTTCATCAACTGATCAGTACATAACCTTGTTTTATGTGGGTTTCTGTTTAAAGATGACTTATTTAATATTATGTTATCAATTCATTCACCAAATTCACAGCCAATAGGGCTGTAACTCATGCATGAATGAAGCTTATCTAGCTCGCCCTTAGAATCATTAGACAGCACTTGAATGGCTTACTCAGAAGACATTTAAAATAGTAAAATCACCAACAAAAAGCACAAAAATGAGAACAATGTGTCACCAAAAATACTGAAGAGGGGATACTTGTTCGCAGAGCTGAAACAAGAAGGCAGAGGGTCACCTTGTTCAACCTCAGCGGGGAACCTGGGTGTGTGCATTGGTGGCAACTTAAAACCTCACTGCCCTGCAGATACGCATGTCCACAAATGACCACAAAAGCCCCATATTAATTTTGGGGTTACGAGTAAATTTTAGCACGTAGGCGCATTTGCAAAGATGGAACCTGTGGATAATGAGGATTGATGGTACACACACACACACACACACACGCACGCACGCATTTGTAAACTCGAAAATACACCCTTAAAAGCCTCATGTATTAAAGAGGAACTCAAAATAGAAACTGTAAGTTACTTATAACTGAGTGACAGTAGAAGTGTGTATCAAAACTTGTGGGGTGCAGCTAAAGAAATACTTCAAGGGAAATTAATAGTATTAAAGTGTATTTTTAAAAAAAGATTGAAAATGGGGAAAAAAGCTAACCTTTTCAGTCCAAGATATTAAAAAAAAGAAAAAACAGTGTAAAATCTGAATAAAGTAGAAGGACATAAATAAAGAACAGAAAGTAAGGAACTATCAAATAAAACAAAGGAGAATTCATGTTTCTGGTCAGTGTTGCATTCTCAGTATCTAGCAAAGTGCCTTGTAGTAGGTATAAATGTGTATCACAGACAGTTCAGAAAATAAAGCTAAGCAAAATAATAATAATAAAACTTTAACTATAATTACATATATTATACAAATATTATATATAATATATAGTCACACTATATTATATATATAATGTATTATATGTATATATTGTATATATATAATTTCATATACATATAAAATGTATATTTTGTATGTATATATTTAATATATTGTACATATATAATTATATAAAAATATATAAAATATAAAAATATATAAAATTGTATATATATAAATTGTATATATACAATATATAATTATATATTATACATAATACATAATGCAATATATATATACGAAATACATTATATATAATATATAGTCCCACTCTAGTCACACGTGGAGGCAGATTGGATCAATTCTCCTTAACTCCCTAACTCTGTGGTTTTCAGAATCACCCGCCCCTTGGACAGCTAAGAGTTTTCACTATGAGGCCTTTGCTGGGCCTGACATTTCCTCAGCAGGTAAATAAGCCTCTGGTGGTCTATCCTATTGGCTCTTTACAGGGGGTCCTGGCAGGTCTGAGTTCCTCTCTGTACATCCTTACAGTGGAATGCAGGCACCCATTAAAATTCTAATGTATAATGACATAGAAGAAAATCGTCATAATGTTGTTAGGACAGGTTTTAAATAGTAGGCACCGTGAATCCCATTAAAAAAATATATATGTTAGGGCGCCTGGGTGGCTCAGTGGGTTAAGCCGCTGCCTTCGGCTCAGGTCATGATCTCAGGGTCCTGGGATCGAGTCCCGCATCGGGCTCTTTGCTCAGCAGGGAGCCTGCTTCCCTCTCTCTCTCTGCCTGCCTCTCTGTCTACTTGTGATCTCTGTCTGTCAAATAAATAAATAAAATCTTAAAAAAAAAAAATAAAATAAAAAAAAATATATATGTTAGCAATGATTTTCTCTGAGTGGTAGCATTCAGGGTAATTTTTATTGATTATCTTTATTTTCTTCTTGATGCTTTTATATAAAGTATTTCTAGATGTCCTACAACGAACATTATATTTTTACTTTTAAAAATAATGTATTACGTTTATGATCAGAAAAAAGGGCAAAAGTCCCTGAGAAGCTATGACTGCCAAGGTCTAGCTGGATAGTCCTGACACTCAGATGCTAAGCCACTACGGAAGGTCTTCACTTAGGGGTCGTGGGGGGCCAGGGGGTCTGGGACAGAGATCTGGAGGGAGGGTGTCGGGGAATTCACAATCCTCACCTTGGCCTGTGCCACTTCTTTGCTGGTGAGCACGAAGAGGACATCCCGGGTATGAAGCAGAGAAAAGGGCAGGTCCAGAAGGGAGATGTACTTGCGCAACACATTCACTGACTGAAGCGTGAGCACCGAGCACCCTGGTTGGGGGAGGCGGAGAGGGGAGAAGTGAAGAGTCTTGTTGCTTCCAGGCAGATTTCACCTGAGCACCCTACCCCTCCTTTGGGGCTCAGGGCAGGGCAAAACCATGGCCACGGAGTAGCCAGATGTCTCGGTAGCACCAAAGGTGCTCTTTGCCCATCGTTCTCACAGACAGGAAGAGTGAAAGGACCACAGAACATCTGGCCGGCAGCCCTCTACTCAAGCCCTAGCAAGATTAAGGTGGTTGCTAGAGGTTGGAGACTGGCTACTTCAAGGCCAAGGGAAAGGCGATAAAGACCAGAATTTTGGGATTGGGAGGCAAGAGACCTAGCTCCTGCTCTGATGCTGAAGACCTGACAGACTTGGGAAAGTGCCTTCTGCTCTCTGAGACTCAGTTTTCTCATCTGTAAAGTGGTGTTGACAATGTGGAAGCCTGTCTCACGGGGCTGGTATCGGCCCACTCAGAAAGAGCACACCCGACTGTGTTCTCACTTGCGTCATCATCTTGTCGCTCCTGAGGGATGTCTCCTATTCCCACCGACAGACCAGAAACTGGCCTAGAGAGGTTAAGCCTCAGTGTCACACAGTAAATGGCCAAGTGGGGTCAAACACCTTTCAAGTAGGTGAACCCCTCAAACACTCATCAGCTGTTTGCACCCTGGCTAAGTGATGGGGGCTGGGATGGGAGTTTAGATGGACAGACTGAAAGAACATTAGAGGTGAGAAAAGACCCACCTGGGAAGAAAGCTAGACAGATGAGCGGGCAAGGCCTGGGGTCATGGTTAATTTCATGTGTCAACTCAACTGGGTCATAGGCTACCCAGATATTTGGCTGATTACTTCTGGGTGTGCCTGGGAGGGTATTTGTGGATGAGACTAACATTTAAATCAGTGGACTCAGGAAAGCAGATAGCCCTCCCCCCAGTGAGGGTGGGCATGGTCCCATTCTCCAAGGGCCTGAATAGAAGAATAGATAGAAGAAGGGAGAATTTGTTCTTTTCTGCTTGACTCTTGAGCTGAGACACTGGTCATCTCCTGCCCTTGGACCGGGATTTACACCACTGGCTCTCCTACTTCTCAGGCCTTTGGACCCAGACTGACTGACACCACCAGCTTTCCTGGGGCCCCAGTTTGCAGAAGGCAGACTGTGAGACTTCTCAGCTTCTGTACTTGGATGAGTCAAGTTTTATAATAAGTCTCTTTTTACATGTATCTCCTATTGGCTTTGTGTTCCTAACACCTCTGGCCTCCCCTCACACCCAGAGGCTGCCTGGCTGGCAGGGGACTTCCCAATGGAGACAACCTGGTTTTAAGGACTGAGGACCCACATGGACAGACACATTGAGCTAGGTCAAGAGGAGTGTGACCCAGCCTCCCCAGCCCCTTGGCTTGACCTAGGGCAATTCTCCATATATTTACAATTTTCACTCAATAAGTTTCTTAGAGGGATAGTAATTAGCAGACTTTGGCAAAACAGACCACTTACCTTCAGGTAACTTCCCTTCTGAGTGGAGGGTCCTGGAGGAGGAAAGGACAGGAGTGAGAGAGAGTAAGAATTCCTTTGCAGTTAACAGGAAGAGTCTTCAGAGTACAGGGGTCAAGGGTAGGCCTCTCCAGTATGGGCTACAATGGCATGTAAGTTACCTTGAGTTAAAAGCAATCAAAAGCCATCAAATTCAGGAAAACCACTTTGCACCTGCCCCCCAGCCACCTGAACTTACACTGGAAATGGGCCTGTACCAGGAAGAGAACTAGTCATAGAGATTCCTTTTTATCTAAGAAACTTATCGGGATAAAAGGGCTATCTTTGTTTTCCAAACATTTCAATCTTCCTGCTAATGGTCTTCCTCTCCTTGTACCCCAGACTCCCATTCTGCTCCTGAGCTCAGGATGACATATAAGTCTCATGTTGCCTGACAGTCTCTGGAATTTCATGTTTGTCTGGATTCATGTTTGCATGGATTTTGTGGGACAAAATTAAATTTGATTTTCTCGTGTTAATAATTTCTCGTGGAAATTTAATTCTTAGTCCAGCTAGAAGAATCCTGGACAGAAGAAAATTTATTCCTCCCCAACAGTGGTAAGGTCTGCCACACCCTATGATCCCCCCATAGGTTTTTTTTTTTATTTTATTTTTAAGTTTTTATTTATTTATTTGACAGACAGAGATCACAAGTAGGCAGAGAGGCAGGCAGAGAGAGGGGGAAGCAGGATCCCTGCTGAGCAGAGAGCCTGATTCGGGGCTCAATCTCAAGACGCTGAGATCATGACCTGAGCTGAAGGCAGAGGCTTAATCCACTGAGCCACCCAGGTGCCCCCCCACCCACAGGTTTTTAGGTAGTTTTTTTGCATCAGTCACCATATAGGTTTCTGGGATTCCATACCTCTGGCTATAGCTGAAAAGACAAGTGTGGGCACCATCCCCAAGATTAGCCAATCTGGGGGATGACTAATAGTTATGAAGTGCCTTGGTCCAAACTTTGCCCATAAGAAAAGAAGGTAACTATGATGGACTTTTCAAAGTTTCTCTCTTTTGAAATTGAATTTGAGTGTGACAGGAGGCTATTTTAAAATATTAATTGAGGGGCACCTGGGTGGCTCAGTGGGTTAAAGCCTCTGCCTTCGGCTCAGGTCATGATCCCATCGAGCCCCGCATCGGGCTCTCTGCTGAGCAGGGAGCCTGCTTCCCTTCCTCTCTCTCTTTGCCTGCCTCTCTGCCTACTTGTGATCTCTGGCTGTCAAATAAATAAATAAAATCTTAAAAATAAATAAATAAATAGAAATAAAATATTAATTGATATTTCTTCTCTAATAGTTCTTTCTCCTTTTCAACCTCTCCTGCTCCCACCTTCACACAGTGAAGGCCATTCTACACTCCCAACAGCAGTGGGCAATCCAACAGCAATGAACTCCAGATCCCTTGCCTGCTTTTGTTTGGAAGCGAAGAAATGGAGAAAAGATGGGATAAGTGGTCCAACTCCACCACCAACACACAGACAACATACTCATATGAAATGGATTTCAGTTCTACTACTTCTGCCATTGTTCAGCCTGGCAGTGCTGGGAAAACCACTTCACTTCCTCAGTTAAATGAGGTGGTTGGACTTAATGATAGGGGAATCATTTCCAACTTTACATATTTCACTGGTCTGGTCTGAGAATGTTGGGCATGTTTAGAAGAAAGTTCTAAAGTAAGTCCTTTACTTCAAGTTGTCCCTTCCCTTCCCCTAGGCCAGGTCCACCACTCCCCCACTCATGGCGCCAGGGAGAAGTACTTCTCTAGAGGCTGGGAAACACAGTTTACGTTTATATGACCCTGAATAAGTCCCTCAATATCTCTGAGGTGCATTTTTTTGGTTTGTTTTTTAACAGTAAAATACAGATGCCTATCGGTAAAATAGGGTGGCTATGAAGAACAAAAGTTTTCCTATTACATATGTATATCTTCCTTTTCCAAAGAAAGATTTGATACAGTGTACAAAATGTACAAAAGAGGGGCGCCTGGGTGGCTTAGTCATCAAGCGTCTGCCTTCAGCTCGGGTCATGATCCCAGGGTCCTGGGATCGAGCCCCGCATCGGGCTCCCTGCTCAGTGTCTCCCACTCCCCCTGCTTGTGTTCCCTCTCTCGCTGTCTGTCAAATAAATAAATAAAATCTTTTTAAAAATAAGGTACAAAAGAAATTAGAATGAAAGGGGGAAAGGGATGCCTGGGTGGCTCAGTTGGTTAAGCATCTGCCTTCAGCTCAGGTCATGATCCCAGGGTCCTGGGATCAAGTCCCGCATTGGGCTCTTCGCTCACTGGGGAGCCTGCTTCTCCCTCATTCTGCCCCTCCCCCTACTTGTGCTCACTCTTGCTCTCTTTCTCTCTCTGACAAAGAAATAAATAAAATCTTTTTTTAAAAGGGAGGAAAAAGAAGATGAAGCCACGAGGCACACTGATTTATAGAACTCACTCCCTCAAATCTCCCACATGTGCTACATGGGGTTGCAAGTTTGGCCCGAAACCTCTCTGTGGCCAAAGCAAAGACAGAAATAAAATGTCACCCCATTTTTCCGTGTGGAAAAAACCCTCATGAGTTGAGGAGGCAAAACAATGATAAGATGACTTAGGAGGGATTTCTCACACACACGGTGTGGTGAGCTGTGGTGAGCAATGCGGCCAACGATGGCTCTCTGTACTTCAGCGGCCAGTTCCCCGAGGCTCAGACGGTGAAGCGGGGGAAGCCCTTTAGAAGCCATCCGCCTGGAGCAAATGAACAGACCCCCCCCCCACCACCTGCAACATGCAGAGTCATACCTCACAGCTGCATATAGAGCAACATGATTGCGGTGACCACTGACTCCCCCTGCATCAAACGTCACCACCTGTAGAGAAACAGGGTGGTCACTCATTTTTTTGTTTTTTTAAGATTTTATTTCTTTACTTGACAGAAAGAGAGATCACAAGTAGGCAGAGAGGCAGGCAGAAAGAGAGGGGGAAGCAGGCTTCCCGCCAAGCAGAGAACCCGATTCGGGGCCCGATCCCAGGACCCTGAGATCATGACCGGAGCTGAAGGCAGAAGCCCAACCCACTGAGCCACCCAGGAGCCCCAGGGTGGTCACTCATGATTGAATACTTTCTCTGCCTCAATTTCAAGGCAGCTGTTCCCGTTCCCCTGGCCAGAAAAAGAGCGCACAGAACTCTGTACCCAATTCTGGGTACAAGCGAACTCACTTCCAAGCGGATCAGTGGGGTAAACCCATTGCGTTGGCCAGTTGTGTGGAGACTGTGTGGGTTTTACTGTTTACTTGTGTTCTGGGCCAGTGAAGCAGAGGGGAATTCGGCCACGATACAAACCTGGTTTAGAGGATCTTTGTTTCTTATCTGCCTGGCCATTTATTAGCATGCTTCGTTCTCACGGCTGGCCGCGGGGTGAACTCTGTTCTTGTAGATGCTGGCTGATTTATGTTTATGTGGCCCCTTTCCTTGTGCTGTACTGAGGGCACAAAGTCTTTGAGGGACAGTGCCCACCATGCCCCGGGGTTAAGATCACAGAAGTCTATTCATGCACGGACTGCCTCTGTATTTTCTACTTATTAAGGATAAGCTAGTCTGGGTTCCAACATCTCATTTCTGTACAGATGGGTTAAGAAAAAGACCAAGTAAGTCTGAATAATAATCATGTTACCTCGAATAATAAAAGAAATTTTAAAAAGAGAACAGGGACTCAGAAAAAGGAATAGGAATGGTTGGTTAGGGGAAGTGGAGAGAGGTAAGCTGTCCCCAAGGAAAGTGCACGGCATGCCTCATGGACTAAGGGGACCAGGACGGGGATTGGTATAGGCTGAGAAGGGCTTCCCTACTGGTGTTTCTATTTTAAATAATAAAATGCTGACTTCACATACCGGGAACTCGGTGTTACAGTGAGAGCAGCACACCTCTACTGGGCACAGGATGGGGAGTGCAGATGAAAAGAAAATGTAAAGTCCTGTCAATGCATCCTGATTCAAACAAGCCGTAAAAATAAGCACAAGATGAAAACGTTTATGACATAAGACTGTTGGAAATACAAAACACCAGTGTCAAAGAATTGTGAATGTTTAGGGGTGACAATGGTGTTATAGTTTAATAAAGGACTTGTTGTGGGGGGGCATGGGTGGCTTAGTGGGTTAAAGCCTCTGCCTTCGGCTCAGGTCATGATCCCAGGGTCCTGGGATCGAGCCCCGTATCGGGCTCTCTGCTCAGTGGGGAGCCTGCTTCCCAGCCCCCTCTCTGCCTACTTGTGATCTCTGTCTGTTCAATAAATAAATAAAATCTTTAAAACAAACAAACAAAAAAAGGACTTGTTGACGATTCGAAATGCATGCTAAAATATTTAAATATGAAATATGATGCCAAAGATTTGCTTTGAAATAATACAGGGGGTGCCTGGGTGGCTCAGTCATTAGGCATCTGCCTTCAGCTCAGGTCATGATCCCAGGGTCCTGGGATCGAGTCCCCCATTGGGCTCCCTGCTCAGCGGAAAGTCTGCTTCTCCCTCTCCCACTCCCCCTGCTTGTGTTCCCCTCTCTCGCTGTCTCATTCTGTCAAATAAATAAAATCTTTAAAAGAAAGAAAACAGGAGGTGGGGAGGTGAACAGCTGTTTAAATGAAGCTAATATTGACTGTGAGTTAATGATTACAGGAGCCGAGTGATAGGAACATGGAAGTTCATTAAACTTCTCTCTACAGTTGCAGGCTTGAAATTCTCCCTTCTGGAAAATTAAAAAAAAAAAGAAAAAAGAAAAAAGAGTTAAAGGCAATAAAAAGCGAATAGTGGACACATGTCATTATACATTGTCAAAGCCCATGGAATGGACAGCACCAAAAGCGGGCCCTCATGTAAACTGTGGACTGGGGGGTGCTAATGTGTCAGTGTTGGTTTACTGATTGTAAAAAAATCATGCGGACGGGGAGTTTTTGTGTACCTTCCGCTTGACTTTGCTATGAACCTAAACTGCTCTAAAGAATACAATCTATTAAAACACATAAACCGTGGGGCACCTGGCTGGGGCTCAGTCGGTAGAGCATATGACTCTTAATCTCAGGGTCGTGAGTTCAAGCCCCACATTGGGCAAGGAGCCTACTTAAAAAAAGAAAAAAAAGAAAAGGAAAACAAAACGTAAAACCGTGTAACTAGCTCAAGTACCCTGTTCTGATCCCAGTGTTCCATCCAACACAGTGCTGACTCAAGTCTACTCTCATCTTGGACCCTCCTTAACCCCTGCCATTGGGCAGGTCACAGAACTTGACCCCTGGAAGTTATTTCAAGGTTCAATGTGTTGTTGGTCGTCTCATTTGCCAGATAAGAAAAGTAATACCTGCTCTGCCTTCCTGGTGGGGTTGAGGTGAAGACACAACAGCCCGACGTGGAAATGTTCAGGAATGTGTACGTACAACAGGACAGGCTAGAGCGTCTCAACTCCAAGCCTGCTCTTATCAGGAGACCATGACAGCGGGGCTAGTCAGTACCCTGGGTGGGCTGGAGAGCACTTCCTAGGTTAGGGGGGATTGGGGGTCCGCTGGAGCTTGGCTCAATCGCTTCTGAAATTCTTCTAGGTCTCTGTTTCTTCCCATAGTCTCCCTCTTTCTTTCCGTCGCAAGGAGGGCTGAGTGGAATTGTATCCAGCTCCCCGGACTTTTGCAGATATTTAATGTGACAACGGTGACCCCTGTAGCTCTTTCTAGAACTCCATCCACCTCACCCACCCCATCCCCCAAAAGCTGTGGAAATCTTTGTTCAAATGAAATCTTACCCAGACCCCAGTGGTAATGGGGGGGCTGCTCTGGTTTCTCTAAGATGGTGGTTCTCAACTGGGGGCTATGTCGCCCCAGGCACATCTGGCCATGTCTGAAGATAGATTTGCTGTGATGACTGAGGGGTGTTGCCACTGGGTAGAGAAGGGGGCGGTCAGTGGGGAAAAGCCCGGGATGCTGGTAAGCATTGTCCCCCACAGCAAACAACGATGGGGGCCCACATGTCACGGATCCTTAAGGGAGCAGGGACTGGGTGTTTGGTTTCAAGTCTGTATCGCCAGTTCACAGCAAGTAGGGAACATCACAGACCAGGTGCTCAATAAATATTTGTTGAATGAAAGGTCCACATAGGGGCCGGACCCCGGACCTAGCCTGCTTGCCACGGAAAGACACCACCGAACCCCTCGGTTGCTCTCTGTAGAGGGCAGCACCATAAAGCTTTCAAAGCCATGTCCTGGCAGCTCAGCAAACATGGTGGGGCTGGGACCAGATGGCACCTGGTTTCCTTCCATCTCCTGGGTTTAACCCCTGCAGAGCCAGCTGTCGGCTGGGGTGGAGGAGAGCTTTTAGGATGACCCCAGCTCAGCCCAGGTGGGAATCTGTCTTCCCATGTCTTAGCTTGGTGCTCCTGGCTTCTGTCTCTGCTTCCCCGTTGGTCTTCTCTCATCATGTGGCTAATACTTCCGGTCTGGAGGGAGCCCCTAGGTCCCTGATCCTGCCACCGAGTGACTTCTCTCCTGTCTACTGCTAAGCCCTCGCCCCTGGCCCACCAGGGCCTACGGGGACTGTGGGAAAGCGTATTTCAGTGCCTCCTGGCGGCTGAGATCGGTTATGGCCACTTACGCCCTCACTGACAATGGTGTTAGCGTGGCCTTACACGCCTACTGTTGTATGAAGTGCAGGCCGGGGAAATTATCCCTTACTGCACCGTGACAGCTTGGGATTTTCCTTATTAACAGCAAGGTGAGTTAAAGAGCTGTTTTAAAATGGTTTCCTTGGGGCTCCTGGGTGGCTCAGTGGGTTAAGCCTCTGCCTTTGGCTCAGGTCATGATCTCAGGGTCCTGGGATCGAGCCCCACATCGGGCTCTCTGCTCAGCAGGGAGCCTGCTTCCTCCTCTCTCTCTCTCTGCCTGCCTCTCTGCCTACTTGTGCTCTGTCAAATAAATAAATAAAATCTTTAAAAAAATAAAATAAAAGGCAAATGTTACCATAGTTTTCATTTGACATTGAGGAAACTCAAGCTTCCAGAAGCTGAGAAGCTTGCCCGAGGTCAGCAAGGAATGAAGCTGGGATTTTTAGCCTCAACTTTTCACTGCAGAACGCACAAGGGTACATTCACGCGCACTGCCGAAGAACATTTTAGTCAGAGGTCGAGCAACAGTGCAGATTCGCATTCACTGGTCACCAAGGGCAGGAGCCCCCATCTCAGCTCTGCCGGGGTCCTCTGGACCCGGCCTTGCCAGTGGTCGATGTTATGGCCGCTGAGAAGGCTTACTGTCCACCTCTAAAATGACAATGACAGTCCCTCATGGGCTAATGCCTAAAATTTACCACTTAAATTCCTAAACACCCAGGCAGCCCTTCAGCACTGCACACTGGGGAACAGGATCCATCCTTGCCAGGGGGCCGGGTTTCTGTTTTAGACCATGTTGCATTTGACCACAGCTCTGAGCTTCCAGGGAGGGGTCTCAGGGCACGGATAGCTCTCCGTGCCGTTTTTGCTCTCAGAAAAGTCTCCCAAGTTTGTGTCCCAGAAAAGTGATTTGTGGTCCAGGCCGCATCTCAAGACCGCCTTCTCCAAGCAGCCTTCCGTGACTTCTTCGGCCCGCTTTGGGAATCCTACAGTATTTGGCGTGTATCCTGCGAGTTGCTGTTAAGTCTTTGAAGTACAGACCGTGTCTTATGAACTAGACTGGAGGGTCCGTGAAGGCAGGGACCGCCATGACATTTTTATATCCCCAAGAACGAGAACAGGCCTCAGACCGTGCTTGTCCCCAGACTGCCCAGACGGTTAACTGCCACCTGGCTGCCTGGAGTTCTTTCCTGTCGTCTGAGGTGCTCGTGTTCATTCCAGTGTGTGAGGGCCCTTAATCATCAGGACAATCCTGAACTCATTTAATTTCCCTACTTAAGGAAGCCATTTTTTTTTTTAAGATTTTATTTATTCATTTGACAGACAGAGATCACAAGCAGGCAGAGAGGCAGGCGCCCAACATTTGCCTTTTAAAGTTAAAATGGTCCCTTAAACATGAAAATGCTCGGGAAAAGATGAAGTTCTGTACAAACAGGAGCCATAGCTCGGGCTCCTGGGGCCCTTTTGAGAAGGCAGGACAGAGGCTGGGGTTGGGGACGGTTAAAGAGGACACAGCTTGGAAAAAACCTCTGTGTCCACCTGTGGCAGTTTAGTTACACAGTCCCACAAAGGGTGTGTTTGGTCCTCCACAGGTTTATTTTTTTGTTTTTTTAAAGATTTTATTTATTTATTTGAGAGAGAGAGAGAGAGCGCACGTCTGGAGTGGAGGGGGAGGGGGAGAGAGAGAAGCAGACTCCTCGCTGAGCAGGGAGCCCTACGCGGGACTCGAACCCAGGATCCTGGGATCGTGACCTGAGCTGAAAGCAGACGCTTAGCCAACTGAGCTACCCAGGCGCCCCCCTCTGCAGGTTTAAAAGAGAGCTCTAGAGGAGGGCAGCCACGGGTAAAGGTGTGACCGGGATCCCTGGCTTCGCGTTCAGGGAGGGTGTCCGCTTACCAGGTTGATGCTGTTTGCTTCTACGTGCTGGAGGAGGGTGCCAGCCACACGCTCTGTGTCCCACTGCACACCTGGGTCATCTGGGAAGTCCCTGGAAAGAAGAAACACCTTTTCTAATCAGGTGTGAACTCCTCCCTAAGCTCTGGTAGGCATGTGCCAGCCCTGTGATAGGAACTGTATGGGGCGGGGGCGGGGGGGCACCCTTAAGGATCCAGATTTCAGCAAAAGAGGTAAGATTTGGAAACACGATGCAACTAGAGATCAGTGCACACCTCCACACAACACACTTTTGGAGCCTTTTGCTTGCTGCTGAGGGGAGGAGATAGACACTGAAGAGACAAGGCTTTGATCTAAAGTTCGGGAAACGTACGGGTTAGGAACAAATGTGGCCACACCACAGAATGATATCTATCTTTGCAAGAGTAAAAGCAACAGTGCTTTAAGAAAAAGTACAAAGCTATGTTTCTTCATTTAACCTCATGAACATCTAGAGAAGGAGCCTTTACAGACGAACTTAGGGAGCCCACTTGCAAGGCTGTTGGAGGCGGATTCGGATTCGGACCCGGCTTTCTGACTGCAGAGCTGAGATGTTCTAGCCCTATGGAGCTACCAGCATACTCCGTCCAACGGGGCTGCACCCCAGTGGGGCTGGTCTCCAGGGCAGAGGTCTGCACCTTCTGTGAGTTTCCATTCCACCACGCCATAGGCCTATCTCCTCCTCCGTCTCTTTTTTGTGCATCCATCTATGGCATCACCTACCACGAGGCCAAGGTCTCAACTTGACCTCAGTTTGGGGATATAATGGGTAGTCTTTTTATTTGTTCATTTTTAAAATTGAAAATTTTTAAAATAATTTTTAAAATTTTTAATTTATTTGACGGACAAAGATTACAAGTAGGCAGACAGGCAGGCAGAGAGAGAGAGAGGAGGAAGCAGGCTCCCTGCTGAGCAGAGAGCCCGATGCAGGACTTGATCCCAGGACCCTGAGATCATGACCTGAGCTGAAGGCAGAGGCTTAACCCACTGAGCCAGCCAGGGGCCCCATGCATAGTCCTACTAATAGATATCCACCTCTCTCTCTCTTTCCTTTCTAAAAGATTTTATTTCTTTATTTGACAGAGAGAGGGAGAGCACAGGCAGGGTGAGGGGTAGACGGAGAAGCAGACTCCCCTCTGAGCAGGAACTGCCCCCCCGCCCCCATCGATGTGGGATTCTATCTGAGGACACTGAGATCATGAGCTGAGCCGAAGGCAGATCTTAACCGACTGAGCCACTAACAGGGAAAGGATGCAGACTGAATCAGCCAAAGGAAGAGAACACAGGGTGTAGAATCTGAGAGGGTTCTGAATGTGAACAATCTGTTGTCCTCTCCCTGGGGGACGCGTGATTCTGCCGGCAGTGATGTGTGACAACACACAGGGAGGACTGCCAACCAGGGAAGCTCACTGCAGCTTTGGTGTTCAGAGTTTTTATTGGGGTTCCGTTACTTGGGCATGACCGATTGATGGTCCATGTGGTTGACCTCAGCCTCCGGGTGGGCTGACCCTGCACAACCCTAAAGCCCCGGCCCTAAAACCCCAAAGTACTGCTCTTAAGTTTGACATAGATTACTTCACAGAAGCCAAGGGCAAAGGCCAGATCTCTCTTTGGGCAAAGCCAAATTCTTTACTATCAACCTTCCTCACATTTAGGAATCGTAGTGAACATTTTTCTTTTTTTTTTTTTTAAAGATTTTATTTATTTATTTGACAGAGATCACAAGTAGGCAGAGAGGCAGGCAGAGAGAGAGAGAGGAGGAAGCAGGGTCCCTGCTAAGCAGAGAGCCTGATGTGGGTCTCGATCTTAGCACCCCGGGATCATGACCTGAGCCAAAGGCAGAGGCTTTTAAACCACTGAGCCACCCAGGCGCCCTGTAGTGAACATTTCTATCAGCTGTGGCCTGGACCACCCCTCTTCGCACCTGATTAGTTACAGCATTTCTCTTATTTTCTATTGCTTTGTGTGTCTCCCTAGCCTCACGCCAAAATATGAGAATAGACCTGTGTCTCGCTCTTCTATTTCTCATGTGGAACTGGGTACAACCCAAGTCAAAGAACAATTTATTTAAATAAACAATGAGTAAATGAGCTTCGGCCACGGGCAAGGAACTGCATCTAGGGGCTTAATAAGCACCAGCAGATTGATAGAAGTGGCCTCTGGCTGAGCCGAAGGAGCTATACCAGCTTTTGGGGTTGGAACACCCAAGTAAGACGTTCAGAAGACAGCAACGTTATAAAACAGGCCAGGCACCAACAAAGTACGAACTGTGTACGGGAACGAAACATCCTGGTGGGATCACCTCCCCTCTAGGTAGGGACACAGAAAATTTGACCCTGGGAACCTTTGAACAGATAAAAAAATGACTCTTTCAGACCAACGACTGGAGTGGTTCTTTGCCCCAAATTCAACCCTCATCAACTCAAGGCTTGAGTTCAAGTAATAACATTGGCAGTTCCTTTCTTCTCTGACAGATGAACAATTTGCTGAATGTAAACAGAAGTCAGTCAACCGTTGGGCCCTTCCTTGAAGAGACAGTTGGTGAATGACTTTTGCCCCATTTCTCTCTGTCCCATCCCTCTTTGCTCGGGCTGGAGTTGGTAGCCATCTTGGCCCATGAAGCAATCTTGGGTATAAAAGCCAGACACAGTAGAGTAACCGAAAAGGAGAAGCCCTGACCCGGCGGAGTTTTGGAACAAAGGCACCCCACCAGCCCTACATGGCAGAACTCCTTGGGTCACAGTTATTGTAGACTTTCCGTTATTTGCTACATACGTAACCAGATCCTGATTCAAATATGCCAAAATATGTAAAGCCTGGACTTTACTGATTATTTAGGTTGTTTCCAATTTTTATTATTATGATAATAATCCTCATACGTAACCTTTTTTTTTTTTTTTTTAATTGAAGTAGGCTCCACACCCAGCATGGGGCTTGTAACTCATTGCTCCGAGATCAAGAGTCTTACACCGACTGAACCAGCCAGGTGTGCCTATACATAACTTTTTGTATGCTTCTCTCAATATTCCCTTCGAATAAAATTATAGAAATGTAATTACTGGGGCACCTGGGTGGCTCAGTTGGGTAAGCCTCTGCCTTTGGCTCAGGTCATGATGATCCCAGGGTCCTGGGATTGAGCTCCGCATGGGGCTCCTTGCTTGGCGGACAGCCTGCTTCTCCCTCTCCCTCTGCCTGCTGCTCTGCTTACATGTGCTCTCTCTCTCTCTCTCAAATAAATAAATAAATAAATAAAATATTAAAAAAGATCTAATCACTGAGTCAAAGGTGCAGAGAACATGTATAGATCTCTTAAGAACCTTGTTATGAAGAGTGTGTGGAAAGTATGTTGAGTCACAAGCAGTCAGCATTAAGGGAGTGTTTTGTTTTGTTTTTTTAGGCAATCAGCCAGCAGGGGACTCGGGCTCTGAAATCAAGAGTCCCATGCTCCACCGACTGAGCCAGCCAGGCGCCCCAAGGGAGTATTTTTAAAAAGCAGAGAGATGGGGCGCCTGGGTGGCTCAGTGGGTTAAGCCTCTGCCTTTAGCTCAGGTCATGGTCTCAGGGTCCTGGGATCGAGCCCCGCATTGGGCTCTCCGCTCAGCGGGGAGACTGCTTCTCCCTCTCTCTCTGCCTGCCTCTCTATTTGTAATCTCTCTCTCTGTCAAATAAATAAATAAAATCTGAAAAAAAAAAAAGCAGAGGGATTTGTGCATTTTATAGTCAGAAGTTAAATACTCATACCTATAACTCATAGCAAGAACTCCATTCTTTCTTCCTAAAAATCTCAGGTGCTTTCTCTTTTTTTTCAGGTGCTTTTATACCTACTTTCTTATCCCTGTGAGCCCCTCAAAACTTGGGTTCATTTACTTCCTTTTACAGCTGGAAAGAGCTGGTCAGGAGCGAACCATCGAGTTCCACAGGCAGACGCACAGGTGCTCAGGGGACTGGCTGACCGGGAATGTCACAGAATACGTCTGTATCAAGACTCCAGTTTCATCGTGTTAACCAACCTGTCTCCTTGGAAATCCTGCTATGTAATTCCAGGCCAATATGAAAACAGAGGAAATCAAGCCTCCAACAAGAGTCAGTCTTTACCCTTAAGGAACACTGGGGAATGCTCTCCTCGTCTGCCACTAATGGGAACCTGCGATAGATTCGCTTCAGCAAAACACAGGTATTCTCTCTCTCTCTTTTTTTTCCCCCGAAGATTTTATTTATTTACTTGTCAGGGAGAGAGAAAGAAAGCAGCAGGCAGAGGGAGAAGCAGGCTCCCTGCTCGATGCAGGACTCTGGGATCATGACCTGAACCGAAGGCAGACAATTAACCGACTGAACCACCCAAGTACCCAAAACACTATTCCAAATAGTAGTTCCTCTGCTGCTGCTTCCTTCCCCTGAAATCCAGACCTGTCCAGGCCCACCAGGAATGGTAATAAAGTTATGAAGATTAGAATTCCCAGGAACGTCCTTTAATTATCAGCAAAGTCCTTTGGGGTTTTTCCTGAGATCCTAATGAGTCTGGAAATCTCTCAGAGGCTGGCCCGCTTGGGTAAGTCTCCAGAGATGTGAAGTTGAGTGACTCAGGCAGAAACAGAGGGATGCGGTGAACCGAAACCAAGTTTCTGGCCAGGGTTCACCCCAGTAGAGCTGAGATGACAAATCTGAAGAACGGAGGAGGAGGAAAACCAGGGACTGCCCTTCTTTGGGGTGCCTCTGTCCCCCCCTCTTTGGGAGAACTGCAGTCTGTCGAGCCCTCTCTCAGCTCAGGAGTGGTAAAGCTGAGGCACCGAAGGGGCCCACAAATCACACCTTGTCCCTAGACTTTCTAATTTAGGCATGGCTCTTTCCATCTACATCCCACACCAGTCAGGCGGTGTTTCCCCACTAAGAAGCCAGCCACGGGAATGTGGGAATAAAGATGGAACTTCCAAGGTCATTCATAGAGAAGCCTGAGGACTGCATAAAACAGGACAATGGTCTGATTGGTGGAAGAAAACGGGCACTTGACAAAGCCAGACATGTAAGCTGCCAACATATATTCTTACGCTTTTTCTG